CAACGTAAGTGCTTGTGGACTTCCAAAGAGCCATCTCTGTGTCCATAGCTGCCTGCCACAGAGAGGAGTAGGGACCCTCTATCGCCTCCGCGTAAGAGCGCGGAGTCGGGATGTCAAGTGCATCCGGGTCTCCCTCAGGGGTAAGCAGTACGGACACGAGATGAGGTGAAGAAGCAGCCAAACACTGGAACTCCTCCTGCCTGTCCTCAAGAACGTCCGTGCCAAGGGCAAACTCACCCCCGACGGACGGAGGACAGACAGACTCAGACTCAGCGACAAGACTAGCTGCGTAGTCTAGACGACAGCGAGCAGCGAAGTCGACAAGCTCAGCAACTAGGGCAGACGCAGCAGTGGACTCAAAGGAAGGGTCAGTGACGACAGTAGCAAGGAGACGCGTGACAGTAGGACTGGCAGCAGGAAGAGAGTCCGACTCCGGGTCGGCAAGAGCAGGAAGCGAGGACTCAGGAGGAGAAGGCAAAGGGGCACGCAGAGGAGCAGTGGACGGACGTAGAGACATCTGGTGCGTGCCAGGGACAGGAGGAGGACGCTGACGCGAACCACGACCACTAGTGCGAGCACGACGGACAGGCGACGCAGGGCGAGACGCAGGCTCACGACGCTCAGCAAGACCTCTAGTAGGACCAGTGTAGGGAGAAGGAGCAGGCAGTGGGGAGGCCGGCTGTAACTGTAACTGTGACGGGACAGGCTGTGGACACTCGAAGGGAGGAGGAGGACCAGTAGAAGGCGGAAGACCAAGAACCTGCTGAAGGAGCGGAACGAAGTACGGCCGAGGTCGCGCGGCGACTCTAGACACAGCAAGGACAGCACCAGTACCCCCACTGGTAGCACCAGTGCCAGCAGCACCTCCAGCTCCAGCACCCCCAGCAGCTCCAGTAGCTCCAGGACCTCCAGCAGCACCAGTAGCACCCCCAGCAGGACCGCCTCCAGGACCGACAGCAGTAGCCTCAGCGCCAACACCCTCAGCAGCTCCAGCTCTAGTCGCTCTACACTTTCTAGAATCACATCCTGCCTGAACACTGCTCTTGGTTTTCGCTGGAGATCCTGTTTGAAACCCTCTAGAAGTGCTGCTACACTGTTGCTGGTTCCCTCCAGCTCCCACACCTTATATACGATGGCGTTTCTTCACCCTGAATCGGCCCTTGCTGTGGCTGTTGCTGCTGCCGCTTGCTTTGGCGACGCTGCCCAATACATCTGGGAGGTTCCGAGCTGGTTGGCCTGCTCGCCAGCAAGCTCCACTCCGTTTGAATGGCTGACGGAGTGGACTGATGCGGATGAAATAGAGTTGAGAAGCTGCTCTGTCAAGAGCAGCTCAACTCGGAATGATGAGGATGAGCTGCTGCCGCTGCTGTTGCTGGCGGATTACAATTCGGTGAACCCTAGTGAGTTCATCACTGCTGAATGGACGGATGCGGATGAAGCGTACCTGCGGTCTGGTGCTCTCAACCGTCGTGTTACTGAAGATAGCTGCGAATGGTTGACAGAAAATTCGCAGGTGGACCCCTCTGAATTCATCACCGAGTGGACGGACGCTGATGAGGCATATCTGAGAGACACGACTGTCAGGTGCTTCTCAGGTCCGAGTGAGGGTGACATACTGCTGCTGTCGCCAAAGCTGAAGCCTATGACATCAGCTGCTGTGGCGTACATGGTTGGTAGATTTGCTGAAGTGACCAGCAAGCGGGAATTTCGTGCTCCTCTAGGCTTTTCTCGGTTGAGACCTGCTGTGGTCCGGGCTGCTGCTGCAGCTATGGATGCTGTTGCTTCTGCTGTGGGTGCTGCTGCTGACGCTGTGAGTGCTGCTGCTGCCACGGCTGCTGCTGCTATTTCTGCATCATCTGCAGCTCCCAAGCCAGCAGTCAAGGCTGCAGCTCCCAAGCCAGCAGTCAAGGCTGCAGCTCCCAAGCCAGCAGTCAAGGCTGCAGCTCCCAAGCCAGCAGTCAAGGCTGCAGCTCCCAAGCCAGCAGTCAAGGCTGCAGCTCCCAAGGCTGCAGCTCCCAAGGCTGCAGCTCCGAAGCCTGCAGTCAAGGCTGCAGCTCCGAAGCCAGCAGTCAAGGCTGCAGCTCCGAAGCCAGCAGTCAAGGCTGCAGCTCCCAAGCCTGCAGTCAAGGCTGCAGCTCCCAAGCCTGCAGTCAAGGCTGCAGCTCCGAAGCCAGCAGTCAAGGCTGCAGCTCCCAAGCCTGCAGTCAAGGCTGCAGCTCCCAAGCCTGCAGTCAAGGCTGCAGCTCCCAAGCCTGCAGTCAAGGCTGCAGCTCCCAAGCCTGCAGTCAAGGCTGCAGCTCCCAAGCCTGCGGTCAAGCCTGTAGCTTGCAAGCCTGCAGTGAAATCAACAGCAGCTCTTGCCACGGCCAGTGCCAGTGCTGCTCGTGTGGCGCCTCTGAGGCAAGCAGTGCAGAAGGGGTCGCAGGGAAGTACAAGGAGGACAAGTGGGTAAATAAGTCAGGCTGCACAAACAGCCTCACAGAAACAATTATCTCAGACT